GCCAATTTGCTACCCACCTGACTATGTAATCATCCAAGTCACAGCCGCTCATTTTTTTTTATGAGTATAGGATGTGACACCATATCAAAGGCTTTTTTAAAATCCAAGTATATGACATCCACCTCAACCCCTGCATCTGAGCATTTTGTGACCTGGTCGTAAAAGAAAACAAGGTTTGCCAGGCAGGATCTACCTGCTAATAATCCATGCTGATTGCCCTTCAGCATCACTTTTCCTGCTGGACTCACACAAATGTATTCTTTAATCATTTTTTCAAAGGTTTTTCCAAGGATAGAGATGAGACTAAGTGGTCTGTAGTTACCTGGATCCTTGTTGTTCCCCTTTTGAAAATAGGGAACACATTGGCCCTTTTCCAGTCCCCTAGGTCCTGCCCCAAGTGCCATGAGTGCTCAAACCGTTTTGTCAGTGGTTCTGCTATGACATCAGCCAATTCCTTCAGCACCCTTGGATGAAGATCATCTGGGCCTGCTGACTTGCACTTGGGAAGGCTTGATGTGTTCTACTGCACTAGGTTGACACTAACCGTTGAATAGTTTTGTTGCAAGTAGAGGTGTGGGGTAGGCTGGGGCCCTCCCAGACAAGTGGCGGTAGCCACCAGATGAGCACCGGACAAGCCATGCCTGCAGCTGCAGCCCACCCCACACCACACAGATCCAGGGGGCACATGCCTCTCCATCCCCTGGATGAGCCTTTTGTGGCTCTGTCCTGTGGCCCTCCCTGTTCTGGCTGGTCAGCCCCAGCCCCGTTGCCTCCCTCACCAAAGGGGCCTTGATCTGTACCCCCATACTCCTTCCACCACACCAGACTTGCCAGTTGGATGCAGCTCTTCAAGCTGAAGAGCTGCGTATTGGAAATTCAGCTATCGGTATCAGCCCCCAAAATCTCTCTTGTACTACACCCCTAGTTGCGAGGCTGACTGATTTGTGTCAGAGGAGAAAGAGGGAGGCTCTGAGAGGGCAGTAGAAGAAAAGGATAGTTCGGGGGGCGGGTGTGTGTGCAAAGAGTAGTCCTATGGAGGACAGAGTAGAGAGCAAGAGAAGTGCCACTTTGAGGAAGAACAGGGAACTGGAGTGGCACAGTAAAGACTGTTTGCAGCTGTGCAGTCTGCTTTCCTGTTTGGGATGTAGGCACTCTGACACCTCTTCCCTGGAACTGACCAAAAAGGAGGTAGGGTTTTGAGGTAGGGTTGTTGTTAGGCCTGGGTGAAGCAGTGAGCATTTGCTTCAGATTTAGCCAATTTGGAGGGACAGTGATTCGATTCGGTGATTCGAATCACTGTCCTGATTCGATTTGGCTGATTTGGATTAGGAGATTCGGCCATAGACTATACAGTCAGTGCTCAATGGCACTGGACATAGCTGCCTCCTGCTGGTAAGTCTGTTGTGGGTGGAGGACAGAAGGAAAGGGCGTGGGGCGGGGGGCAGATCAGTGCGCCCACAGGAAGGGAGGGGTTGGGACTGGGGCTGGGACAAGCTGCCCAGCCAGGGCGGAGAAGCACGGGACTTGGAGAGGGGGGATCCTGCCACTGCACCACTGGTCTGGGAGCTGCTCTTCTGGTGGCTTCTCTGGCGGCTCTTGCATGGGAGTGGGCATGCATCCCTGGATCTGTGAGAGGCAGGCTGGGCCAGGCTGCTCTCTGGGAGCGTAGCCCCAGCTGCCTGCTGCTGGGCTGCACTCTGTGGGGCGGGTGAAGCCAGGGCTGTGCTCCAGGCTGTGGCTGGGGCTAGCCTCCTGGAGCACAGCCCTGTCTATGCCCCTAGTCTTCTGGAGCACAGCTTGGACCAGCCCGCCCCGCACAGATCTGGAAGTGCCTGTACACTCCGATGCCCTCCTGGACCGGGAGCAAGAGCTGCTAAAGGAGCTACCAGAAGAGCAGCTCCTGGACCAGTGGTGTGCAGTGGCGGGAGCCCCCCTCCCTGAGTCCTGTGCCCCCTTGTCCCGGCTGGGCAGCTTGTCTCAACCCCAGCCCCAATTCATCTCCTGCTGTGGGGGCATTAATCTGCCCACCCCTTCCCTCTTCCTCCGCTCACCACTACAGATTTACCAGCTGAAGGCAGCTGTGTCCAGCGTCGTTTGTCGTAACTCGAACTGTCGTAAGTCGAGGACTGCCTGTATGGAAGATCACCCCATCCCCCTCCCTATTCTCAGTTTCTGTTTGTTGCAAGCCTTCCAAATTGATTCGGAGGCTTCTAATTCAATTTGGACCTTTTAATGGGTCTCCCGATTTGATTCACATTTGGAGATTTGGCCACCAAATCTCCTCCGAATCGAATTGGTTACTGAAGCTTTGCACAACCCTAGTTGTTATGTATCCTTGGGAAAGTCGGGGACAGAGAAGAGCCAGGGTCTTGAACTTGCCCCTCAAGAAGCTACTCCAGAGCTGGCTTCAAGAGGTCCTGAAGGAGGGGGACTGGATAAGCCTTCTTTTTGGGAAGTCTAAAGGTAGAGCTTCCCCTCAAAAGCAGCATGATCTGTGACAGTAGCACAACACGTTTTTGCAGAAAATGTGCTAAATTTTGTTGTTTCCATACTAAGTTAAGGTTCTTTGTGCCAGCAGCCAGGCAGTGTCCCATAGCCTGGCCCATAGGGTTTGTTGCAGGCTGGCTGACCCACCTCCAGATCTGGATTGTGGGTAGGTGCTGTGTTGACACAGGCTAGCACCCAGGCAGTTAACATCCCTGCTGCTTGCCATCCTGCTTTTCCTGGTTGCCAATTGCTGTGGATTTTAGTCACCAACAGTGACCAAAAACATGGACTTCAGCTGATAAAGGGGGAGGTTTGGGGTATGGGCAGCATCGATTCCCTGGGTATTGGTCTGTGCTGACATAAACTGTGGCAGCTTGGGAACAAACACTGCAGGATAGACCTGGAGATTGGTCAGAAGTTCTGTGGGCTGGATCCAGCCTCTGAGCAGTATGGTTGACACCCCTGTTGTAAAGGAAACTTGTGCCTGGGGCCTGAAATGTTGGGCATTCATTAAAGAAAAAAGGCAGAATGAATATGCAGTAAGAAGATGTAAGGTTATGCCACTATACATTACATCTACAAGATAAGGGGAGAAAAAGTTCTTTCTGTAAATCTGCTATCTTTTATTAGACCAACTCAGATAATTGGAAAAATTCTTCTTTGCAAGCTTTCCGGTATAAATACCCTTCGTCAGGCTGAGGAAGCATCTGCAGTTGGTGTGTGGAGGTACCTGGGGAGTCAGATGTTGGGCAGGTTATAATGTATCATAAATCCAGTGTCTATATTTAGTCCATGATTTTTTTTGTTTTCAGGATGTTGATGAAGTGAAGTTCATAGGCTCATCTGTGAAAGGTGTTTTGTAAATTCCCTTTGAAGGTTAGAACTGAGAGATTGGAGACTGGTTTTCTTGTGAAAAACGTGCCCCCAAATGCTGATGTGCATTTCGCTGCTTATACAACTGCAAGCGTCAGCACTGTGGCACTTGCATGTCTAAAAATCCCCTAAGAGGGTGGAGGCCACATGAGGATGGTTGACATCTTTCTGAACTTGGTTGCAGTGAGGAATGCATTGTTCCTGTAGGAATAGCAGAAGTACAGACATATTGCATCTTACGCAGGGGTTAGGTTCCAAGGTCAGTGCGTAAAGGCAAAAATTGCGCATAGTGGAGACTGCCTCTGCCTCCAAAACCTCCCGCTGCCAGGGCAGAGCCGTGCTTGGAGCTGTGCGGCAGGTGGCATCGGCGCAGCGCGGGGTGGTGGGTGGATGGCTGTGTGCCGCCTGGCCACCACCACACTGCCAAAACCTCCTGCTGCCACTGCAAACTGAAGCCCCGCCCCCCCTCCCACCCCGTGTAAAGTTGAATTCACGCAAGTCAAATGCGCGTATGGCACGACTGTACTGTATTATGTTGGAAATTCTGAAAAGCATGTTAGAAATAATTAACAATAATTTTTGATGAACTACAAACTGAGTTCTAAGTTTTAAAAATGTGGAACTGATTTTCAGTACTTAAATCTTAATTCCCAAGCCAGAATCCTTGTTGCTTATATCTAGGTGATGTTACTTATCATAGAAGCAACTTTAAAGCATAGATTCATAGATTGTAGAGTTGGAAGGGACCACAGTGGATCATCGTGTCCGACCCCCTGCCCCTGGCAGGAAAGAGGACCGAGGTCAGATGACCCCAGCCAGGTGACTATCCAGCCTCCTCTTGAAGACCTCCAAGCTAGGTGATAGCACCACCTCTCTTGGAAGCCCGTTCCAGATCCTGGCCACCCTTACTATGAAAGGTTTCTTCCTAATATCTAACCTAAATCCACTCTCAACTAGTTTACAAGCAGTAACTGTTTAAGTAAGTGGGACTAGTTAAAGTGTGATTCTAGGAATTAATCATCTGCTACAGGGATTTTTCAACCTTTTTAAATAAGTGTACCCCTGGCGGCAGGACGCAGTGGGGTTGGGGGTTGGCAGTGCATGGCTGTGCACTGAACGGCAGCAGTATGGGGTGGTGAATGGCGGCTGCTGCCACCTGGAAACTCCTCCCCTTCCTCCCCCCCCACGTCCAACTGGCCGGGCGGTGCCTGTGTTGCCTGCAGAGGGGCGCCGCTGCCCTCGCCCCACCCCGGCCCTGCTTCTGGGAGGTGGTGGTGCTCTGTCCCCTCCACCCATGCATACCCCCTAGGGCCTTTTCAAGTACCCCTGGGGGTATGCATACCCCCAGTTGACAACCACTGATCTCCTACAGTTAGATTCTATACACGACTTGGCTGCTGCAAGTTTGTGTTTTTAAAATTTTGATTTTATTTTTAGTATAAATTGGGTATGATGTTTACGTGTTGCTTTGAAAGGATCCATTTCATTCAGACAAGCACTGTGCAATTTTCTTCAAATACATATTGAGCAAATCCTGAATTGAAATTGAACTTATTTAAGAATACAAACTTAATGATTTTTATATTCCTTTTGAAATTTTAACTGCCATAACCATATAAACTATTTCTTTTTAATCTTAGGTGAGTGGAATCAAAACCCTCTATGAGTCTGAGCTGGCTGATGCCCGAAGAGTTCTGGATGAGACAGCCAGAGAAAGGGCTAAACTACAGATTGAAATAGGAAAGCTAAGAGCGGAACTTGATGAGGTCAACAAGAAGTAAGGAAACTTGACTTCAGTATCACTTTCTTATTTTGAGAATGCTAATGGGTAATGACCAAAGGAACAATCATACTGACAAATAAAATAAGGATTGGTAGATGTCTTTTAAGGGTGGCCAAATTCAACCACAAATGACTGGTTTAATTTGGAGGGGTGTAGGTTGTAGCCGTGTTGGTCTAAGGACATAGGCAGACAAGGTCCTTTGGGTGAATCTGATATCTTTTATTACACCAACTTAAATAGTTGGAAAAATGTTTCTTAGCAAGCAGCCTGACGAAAGATTTTTAAACCCAAAAGCTTGCTAAGAAACATTTTTCCAACTATTTAAGTTGGTGTAATAAAAGATATCAGATTCACCCAAAGCACCTTGTCTAGTTTAATTTGGAAGCGCTTGGTGAAACTCACTGCTTTTTGCAGGAAGCCAGACCAGATAAACATAATAGTCTGGCTTCCTGCATAATTCTCTGGGCATTAAAATCCATGACTCTGTCAGCGTCTAGATTAAAAACAAATACACACCTTTGAATTGAAATAGAACAATGTATACATGGTCTAGAACCCATTTACCATATCCAGGGTTTGGGGGGCATCCAAATCTGTTTTGCTGCATTTTGAGACCTTTGCTTTCTGTCCTTCCTCTTCTATACCCCCTCTCCCCCCTCCCCTCCCCACACACTTTCGTTATGGCTGTCTTTCAAGTACTTGAAAATTACTATCATATCCCTTCGCACACAACTACCCCTCCCTTAATTTCATGCCAGACTGAACATGCCTAGGTTTTCCTCACAGCTTTCTTTCTAACCTCTCATCAGTTTTGTTTTTCCACATTTGGATCGTCCCCAGTTTCTCCATGTCCTAGTTAAATTGCAGAGTCCAGAAGTGCGTGTAGTACTCCAACTGAGGCCTAACTAGCATAGAGTAGAATGGTAGTTTTACATCCCTTGTCTTGTATCTAGGATTTCTGTTTAATGCAGTACAAAACTGCATTGGCATTTTTTGGTGACTGCATCACATTGCTGGTTCACTTTGAGTCTATGAGCCACCACAACCCCTGTATCATTCTTGCTATTTTCTAGTACAGGGAGTTGCAAAATATGTACCTGTGGGATGGATCTGGCCTGCGAAGCTACTTGATTTGCCCGTGGAGCTTTTGACTTGCTGCTTCTCCCAACTGCATAGCACAAGTGAAGCCACCTCCTTCCCTGCCACTCCCCTCTGTTCCAGCCATCTGCACAGACAGGTGACAGGGAGAAGCAGCTGTAGTTGTCAGAAACACTGGCCCACCTTGGACCTGAGCCAGGTTGATCTAGTACTCCACTGCAAAACCTTGCTGCCTGCCAGTCATTTTCCATTCTATATTTGTGCATTTGGGTTTTTTTTCTAGGTGTAGCATCTTGTTAGTCTGTGTTGAATTTCACTCTATTGTTTAATGCACATTTTTCCAATCCATTAAGATCCTTTTGAGTTCTACATCTAATCTCCTGAGTGTTTGTAAATTCTCTGTTTTGTTTAATATGTAAATTTGGTCCACATGCTTTCTCTTCTGGCATCTAGTTCATTACTAAAAATATGAAGCAGCACCAGAACTGAAATAGACTGTGGTAGAACGGCAGTTCTGCAATTTGAAACTTCTTGGGATTTGTATACCAATGGGGACACTTCGAGTAACTGCGTAACTACATAAGAGATCAGTCCAAGTCATTGAGAGATGCTTTTGAAAACTTTTCTTACGTAATTTAATTTAATTTCCAATTAAAATTAAATTCTAATTACACTAAATTAAATTCCAGTTAACTTCATAGCTTTTAGCCTGTTATGTCTGGTTTATATGTGGCCGTCAGTGATTTAATCCATGTATATTTTTTGGGTCTGTTTGGAAAACATTTGTGTGTCTGGACCACCTGATACTAATAGTGTTAAAATGGCCTCAGAAATAATGTGCTCACTCTGATGGAACTATAGCACTTGTTCCTGTTTCTAGCCACTGTTCTTTACTCTTGCAAAGTTCATTGTACTGGTCACTGTAGTAAATAAGAAACATGAGCGTGTAAAATTTTTGGAATGACTAAATGTGATGCCATGCACAGTATAGGTCTTCACAATACAACAGTCTGTCTTGTGTTTTTTTCAGCATTGTGACTTGATATTTACAATTGTGGGCTTTAGGGTTTAAAATCCATTAAGATAGGTAAGAGAATTTAACTTAGAACTGTTATTTTAGTTAGTTTTCAGACTCAGGAAACCAGTAGTTTTCCATCCAGTTCGTACTTGGAATCATGGGAAAATAGGGCTGGATGAAACCTTTTGAGGTCATCTAGAGACCAGTGGTTCTCAAACTTTTTTGTACAGGGACCCATCTGTAAACATTAACTCGTATCAACCTAGTTCTTTTCACTCCTGACCTGCTGCCCCCAGGCCCCAGCCCTTCAGTGTGGGGGGGACGGGGTGGGTCTCAAGCAGTCCCTTGCAAGCTGGAACTCTGACATCTTGCAAGAGAAAAGCCAGTTTCCCATCATTTTTCTCCTTTAAAGGAAAAAACATTTAAAAAGTTTTTGATCCATTTTTAAAGCTTGTTTGTGACCCTTTCATATATTCTTGCGACCCACTTTTGGGTCATGACCCACAGGTTGAGAAATGCTGATCTAGTCTAATCCCCAAATCAAGGCATCTGATTTGTGCTTCAGTGTCTGCCTAGTGCCTGGTGGCGGTCATGTGATGTGTTGTTTTTCTTCCCTCCATTCTCAAAGCAGCCATACCCCGCCCTACCCTGGGTTATATCCCCCAGATAGCAAGCCTTCAGTTGTATCCTTAGGGCAGTGTTCCCAAACTCTGACAGATTTGCACACCACTAATTTAAAGCGATACAACCTTTAGTACCACCAACAAAGTTTTGTCATATAAAGTAATTATAATACGTCTGTGAACGCATGCCACTGACAGGTTGTCTGCATAGCAGTGGTGGTTCGTGTACCACAGATTGAGAACTGCTGCCTTGGGGGATTCTAGGAGTCAGCAGAGCCCTTGTCTTCCATCTATGTCCAGGAGTTTCTCACTCTGCAGCTTGCTGGGCCAGCCTGCCTGACTTGGCTCAGACCCGAGGCTTACATGCAGCCTAAGCCCTGCCCCTTCCCGTCAGATGGCGCTCCAGCTGAGCAGGGGTTTCTGGTTAGTGCCTGAAGGCTGGTTGCCAAGACAGCTTGAAACTGCTGCTCTCGCAACCTCCCTGCTGTTGGAGCTAGGCTCTGGCCCTACTGGCCTATTTCCTTAATTGCTTATTCCCTTGCAGTCAACTCCCCAGAAGGCAGAGTTCTCCCAACTTGCTGCAGGTGTGTCCCTTCCATCGAATGGGCAGCTCCCTGCCTAGGCAGCACTGTTTCTTTGCTGCTTTCCTTCTTGTGGCTAGCCCCCCAGTTCATCTTTCTGGGCTCTGCCTGCTGCTGCCTTTTCTCTGTTTAAAGCAATGGGACCCCAAGACTCCCTCTTACAGTACTATGTGCAAGCTTTGGTAAATACAAGTAGTAGTTAATGTTCAAAATCAGACACTTGTTTGAAAAAAATTGTTGCACCACATAGTTCTTTGTAAATCATGCTTCTTAAGGCAATTCAACAATGAAAAATCAAATATGAAGGAAACTGCAGCTAGTACCCTACCAGAGACTGTCTGCTTTCTATTCTTACACCTTTTAATAGGCAAGCCACCCAGAAAACCAATGTAGTCTGAAAATGTATATTGAACACTGTTAAAAGCAAAGCAGGACTATATAGCTTATTTAAAGCACCTTTATGCAATGTTTTTAAAACAAGAATGTGGCATTGCCCTGGCTGTGTGTGTTAACAAATTTGCATGGGATAAGTCCCTGTCTTCTGCAGGCTGCATGACCCAGCCAGACCTACTGTGCTCTTTCTACTCAGCAGGGAGAGTTTTAGCTTTGGTGGACAAGTGTTTAAGGGTCCCTTGTTTTAAATGGATATGGTATTCCAACGTTTAGGCTGTTTGGGAAAAGAGGAACAAATAGTGGTTGACTCACAACTTAGGGTGATATGCTTTAGTATTGTGCTCCAGAAAATAAAAAAAGCAGGTTTTTTGGATGAGTTCCAAGGTTAGTCATCTGCTTCTGTATAAGGACTGTTACTTTCCTTCTCTTTTTTTTCTCATCCTTGAGTTCAAGGTTTAGGATATCTCCTTTTTCCATTGTGCACAGAAGCCTTGTCATGAAGAAGTTGTACCTACAGTCTAGTTCAGCTATTTTCAACTTTTCAGATTTAAGGCATCCCTCAGAAAATGTCCGGTGTTAGTTTTTACTTCATTTTTAACTACAGAAAACTAGAACAGTTATTCTATTGCAATAACTCGGAAACACCACAACAGGTCAGAATGTTTTTAAAACTATTAATTGCTATTTGAAATCTCTGGGTTTGTCTTGTGAATCATGTTTGCACACCAAATAGTGCTAATATTGTGTGGCACCTCATGGCACCCTTGAAAACATATCATGGCACCCTAAAGAATTGCTGGTTTAGTTTATGCCATGTTCCCAGCCTCTGCTTTCATTCATGGCTCACTGCCCCTAAAGCTTCCCACTTAGACTGGCATACTGGTGCCTGCATAGCATACAGATGGAAATGTCTGCATCTCTTGGTCAGCTTGATCAATACTTGTGGTGTTTCATGTTACAGGTCTGCTCAATCCCCCCAAACACCTGCCTACTTTCCCTAAATATAGAGAGGCACCCCCAGGAATCTCAGGGTGCCTTCCCATAAGTGGGGAAGTGGGGTACCCCATTCCTCCAAAACTGCCTCCCTGAACATAGGAGAGCAAGCATGCCTTACTGGGAAAAGCAGGGAGATCACGTTACCACTTTTTGCAGTCTGTCAGGGGTGGAACCAAGTGGGAACGTGTGTTTTGCCCAGTGAAGTAGATCAGTTGTGCTGCAGTGCATCATGGCACAGCTGATTCATTTCATTTCATTTCACAATACCTTTCTACCCTCTTGCTGTGCTGGCCTCTATACGGATTACAATCAAAAGGTTTTTTGAGTATACTATATTTACTTCAAAAGGTTTTGTTATCTGTATCTCAAATGGTCTCCAGTGATTATTATCTGTTACATACCACTCAGTACTGCATATATGTATAAAGCTTTTTTTTTCTTTTTTAGCCACAAAAAGAAAGAAGCGGAATTGTCTGTTGCCCAAGGTCGTGTTAAGGATCTTGAAGCTCTGTTTCACAGGACTGAAGCAGAACTCAATACTGCTCTAAATGAGAAGCGTAATCTAGAAGCAGAAATTGCTGACTTGCGGGCCCAGCTTTCTAAGGTAATTAAATGAATGTCTTACAGCTACATTTTTTTTTTCACAAGCTAATCCTTATCCAGTATGATGCTTTATTTTACTGTGAGTGTATTGAGTTGTATATTCACGTTAGTGAGATGATATAAAGAATAAGAAGCCATCTTGAATCAGAGCTCAGTATACTCTTAATCCTAATCTGTTTTTGTCTAAAAGTCATTAAGAGAAATCAGATCACCTTAAGGCAGTGATTCTCAAATCAAGCACCCAGCTTCAAAAATTGCTCTTCAGCTATCGCCTGAGGTACTTTACATGTTAAAAAAGGATTTCTTTAATTTTTTGCAGCATGTCTTTCCCGTGAATCATGGATCCCTTCAAATACGTGTGTAACCACATGTTGTAATGTGTTTCTTCAGAGTAGAGTATTTTACCTAGAGCAGCAGTGTTTAACCTTTTCAGGTTGCAGACTAATGGCCTGGTTCATGACAGAGGCAGGTAGGTGGCAGGATCCACCTGCTGCTGCTTCTCGTAGTGTCATGAGGAGAGGTCCTGCAGCTGTTGCTAGTTGTTGTGGGGTGCCAAAGGCCCCATGTCTGCAGATCAGATCCAGCTCATGGGCTCTAAGTGTGTGGTGTTTTTTTTAAAAAATTTTTTACCCTTACGTTGGGAGTAAAAGTTGTAGCTTTTTTTTTACTAACAGTGCCTGTTTATATGACTTCTGCAACAGTTGAGTCTCAGCCATTGCTTTAAGACAGTCAAAGTAATTTCTGTTACACTACAAGTTTTTCTTTGGATCAAAGTTTTTTATTTAAATAACTTCAGAAAAATTTTCTGATATCTTTCAGGTAATAGTTCACTAATGGTTAAGTGTCAGTTAAAATGATGTGTGGTATTCTCACTCCATAGGTGAACAATGTATATACACTACTTATTTTTCTTAACAGGTTTATGATACCCACAAACATTTGTTTGTAAGTCAGGTCATCCTAACATTTTCCTGAGTATATCTGCATGTTTTAGCACTGGTTCATGACTTTCCTTCTACATATGTACCAGTGTATATGCAACAACATATATACCCAGATTCTACTAATGGAAAATATTTTTAAAGAAATGTTCATTCAACTAATGCATTCTGGAGGAAGATAAGACTTTATCATATTCAGATTGTTGTGAGAGATTTGTGGACTGTAGAAATTGGTACATGCCTTTTGTTTAGAGGTAACCACTTGATAAAAAAACAGTGGCCACTATGCCAGATTTACTTTTTATCAAGAAATGGACTTTGAGAAGGCTGGATTATTATGGCAGTGCTAACAAAGAAAGCAAACAATATAAAGCAAGACAAAACATGATGTTTCTTACTAAGCTGTTTCTTTCCCTTTTCACTTGGGGTAAGCGAGCACAGTAGTAGCAGATCAAAAGTCAGTTTTCTAAAGTCCCCATGCTGCTCCTAGAAACAGAGGCACATGTGGCACTGTCCCTTGTGCTTCATTTCTGTTTCCAGGAGGGTTGGGGGTGGGAAAGAGGGGCAGGGGAAGGGAGGGGAGCAGACTGGGAAGGGCTACAGTCCAAGCCAGTTCTGTCTGCTTTAGTTTATCAGAGAGCCCTGATA